TTTGTAATTGTTTTACCGGATCAAGAGAAAATGTAAAGGAGACATAGAAACAAGTTAGTTTTTCAAGGACAAACTGAAAATTCTGGACATTGAATTATACTATGTAGTCAATACACTTTTTTTTAAATTTCAGCTGAAATGGCAAGGTAATAACTTTCAGGAGATTTTTGAAGAAAAAAATGGAATAATCCTGTGGAGCCAGGTACTAAGCTAGTGTAAACTGACAGCTCCATTGACTCCAGGTTAGGAACATGACCCATACTCTGCAAACTCTTGCGTCAATCTTGGGTCCAGTTTCAATTCAGTCCAGTACAATTTCAACACTGATAGAAGAGCTTCTTAAGTTGTTGGGAGTTAGGGTAGAAAAAGGTCCCACAGTTAAATGTCCTACTTGTTCTTAGCCATATATATTGTATAAATCTCACTCAGGTCACAGAAGACACTGAAAATAATTAGTCTCAATCAAGTTACATAAAAGTGCAAAACAACTGTGGGAATCATAGAAGAAATGAGTAAATAAATGAATGGAAAAAAATATTTTTAGGCATATGAGATTTTACTGTGAATTTTTTATCCACCTCCATATACTATTGCTTAAAGAGCTGTCCTGTGATAAAAATGCTCAATGCACCCTGACTGCCCCTTTAGCCTTTCATTACCACCATGGGATGGAGAAACAATGTTCTAGACTGATAGCACATATGCAGTCGTAATTAGCTAGCCATACACCTCAAAGAAATGCACCTTTCTATAGATAAAAAACATTGTTCTAAAGCTAAAATTGTTGCTTTTCCCAGTCACTGTAAATGTAAATAATATTTCAGTGACGTACTCCTGTCTTTACTAGCCATGCTAACTAGCTCTGTGAAATAATTTCTGCTATGCTAATTGAAGACATAGTTTCAGTTCATACAGTTGTGCCACTCTACAGCTTCAAGAACACTTTAAATAACTTAAAATTACACATTATTCTGTTATAAAAATGTTGCCATTATCTAAACTTGGTTTGTTGTCAAATGAATGCATATCCTTGCAATTGCTGAAAGTTTCTGTATCACCCCGTACTGCATTCACACTTAACTTTAAATGTTCTTCCTTGTAAGGAGGTACAAACCTTTTTCCCAGCAATCCTAAAGAAGTATCTTTACAGATTGTTACTTGAAAATGACAGTTCACATGTGAAGTCTCATCTCACGAGTGTTTTTAATGCATTAGAAAAGCAACAAAAAGCTAAAAATAGAAATGCATTCTCAGCGCTTTCAAGGATGCTTGTACTGACATGCTCAATAAACCTCTCTTTTGTCTAAATTTGACAGCAGCGACTTCTCATACCTATGCTACTTCATAGCTAAAATCAATAAAATTAGCTCTGTTACAGTTTATAATTTTAAGGCAAATGTTCCTCGTTGTTGCATTTCATTATCGGTACTTAGCCAAAGAGAAGACACTACTAATATAATTTTGAAAATTAAAAGCAAAATGTTTTATAATTAGTCTTTTATTAATTTAGAGCATTCAAAATATAAAAATAAAAGGCTTTAAACATACTGTATATACATATATAGCCTTCGGGTTTACATCCTTTCCAACATGATTTTTTTTCAGTTAATAGCTCAGCCTGATCTTTGAGAAAAAGAGAACCATCAGAAAGCAGATAACACAGCACTGTTTTAGAAAACAAACCCATGAACGTGCCAGCCCAATCCCCCATCACTCCTGGTGTAATATGGGGTCTGATTCAGTTTTACACTGGAGGTCTTCTGTACCGGGACCATGCAAACACGTGGGGCTGTCATAGAAGGGAGTATTAGCCTTCACCGATTTCTCTGAAAACATTTGACACTCTGGGAATGGAGTGTAGGCTTTTCAGATTAAAAACTTAAAGTCTGCACTCACATGTACTGCATATTTCCCAAATTAATCCATTCACCTCAGTGGGTTCACTCCAGATTTATACCCCTGGACCTGACAGCAGCAGTTGACCCTTGTTTATTATTTAAAAAAGAAAAACCAATTCCCTTTTTCTCCTTTATTTATTGTGAAGTGGCTTAAAGTTGTGTGGCTAATAAGCTAGCATGTTGTGTTTTTCAGTTTACCCATGAGTTTAAGCAGGAAAAAAAGTCCTTGGGCAAAGGAGTATTCTGCATTGTAGGTTTACATTTAAAAAAAAAAAGTTATGAAAATTCACACCAAAAAAAAATCCATCACAGGCAGTTCACCAAGGGCCAAGGTCAGGTACCTTTGCTCACTCTGAGCAACACTTTCTGCATACAGCCCCACTGACTCTCCACTCGGGGTAAGGTATTATATACAGCAGGCAGATGCGCAAAGAGCCGTACCTAAACAAACATAAAACAAAAATGGTTCATGCACATGAGGAATAATTAACATCATGTCTTGTCCTTGCTTTATAAATTATCCCGATTTGGCTGAAGACAAGATAATGCAAACAACTGATACAAGCTAAGGATCTGTCTCTCTAAGTATCTCCCAAAACACATTAATGCCTCATGGGAATCTCAGAAAAGACGGCTTTTATCCCAGAAATGACCTCTTGTTGCTCGGGAAAATTTTGAAACCTTTCAACGTAGGCACACTTTGTTACAGGCTTGTGAATTCCTGGAGCTCAAAAAGCTGTGCTACAGAAGGCTTCTTTTTTTTCAGGTTTTTTCCTCCTTTGATGTACCTCATTTGTGCTGTATGGGTAACAATAAGTAGACTTACTCAATAATTCTACAACCCAGTAAAATAACTAGGTTGAAAGCTAAAGTCCTGTTGCCAGCTTAATCATTTATTGACTCATGAGCTCTTTCTTATCTTTTTTTTTCCTCCATTTTATTTTTAGTGAAGAAGTGTCTAGAATTAAACTGATTTCTTTTTCATGGTGTTAAGGCTTGTCTTATTTCAGCTACAACTGCATAAAGGCAGAATAATGTCCGTCACGTCACTAACAGTGTGGCAGAGTGGAAATCCACTTGTGTGCACGTTAGCTTTAGTGGTTTCAAAGAAACATCCTTCAAAAAGCGTTCTACTGAATAACAAGGGTTTAGGCATCTCATTAAAGCTAAACAGCTGTCGAATGCCTTTGAGGCTGAAGAATACGGGATCGCATCCGAGGTCTGATCTTTCTTTCCTTAGGGCCATAATACAATACCTGTGTTCTTTATAGAAATACAGTTCTGCTAACTATTTTTTAATGCAAAAAACAAAGGTGGCAGCAGCCCGTTGAGTCCATCTATATTTCAGTGGATATACTGTGCATAACATATGTATTGGTTACTTAGATTATTATGAAAATTTACCCACAGCTGTCTCCGTGATGAAAGCTAGAAATCCACAAAGAGAGGACTGTATTTTAAGAGGGGACCGTATTTTACCTTCCCACTGAATGAATGTTTAATATGGTATGCAGATAGAGCAAAATTTGAAGAATGAAGTTTTCTCCTCTGTCTTACCTATCTCTAGTGTCATTTAAGTTATTGCACAACATTTATAAAAATACACAATATATTAATATTCTATGAAGGATATGAAATGTCACACCAGGCTTAATTTTTTTTTGTCCGTGTTCATATTCTGAACATACCTACAGCATGTGGAAAGCATTCTGGAATAATAGTCAGAACTTTATTATTGCCCGAGGAAAACAGGTAAATTTTCAAAGATCAGAACGTTAGCTCTCTTGGGATTAAAGTTTAAAGCAAAATAACTGGCACAGAGTACTTGCCACTGGATACAGAAACGTAGAGAGGGAATTTGTTAATATTAAATAATATCTGTGTTTGTAGCACCACCACCAGTACACCTATAAGGGAAAAAAATGCTTCAGAACACCAATGTAAACTTTACCAAGAGCCATATTTTACATTCATTAAAGCAGAAATTAAAGACAACTTTGTCTTAAAAAAATTACAACATAATCTTGGGGGCAAAAATGCTGGACATAAGTGAGCCGACAATGATGGTACAATTCTGTTTCTCAGTGGGTTTGTTGACTGACATGGCTTTGTAAGCATCTCTGCACAGGTTGCACACTAACGGCATTTTCGTCTACAGTTTCCAGTCTTGTTCAGATATTTTCCACCCATTTCTGTTTGTATACTTAACACGGATGTGGTGTTTAATGAATCTGGGAGTCTGGGTATAGCTGGGGAGAGTTACTTGGCTGGATTTCTGCCTTTGAATTTTCTGCTAAAGAGATAACTGTATTTCATGAGATGTTGAAGCCTCCACTGTAGGCACAAAAACATGATGAAAAAAAACTTACCTAAACCTCATCACGAGGCTATCACCCCACCACGCAAAGACACAGAAAATAGCTAGAAAGTCACCTTTTTAACTTAAAAAAAAAAAAAAGTAGAAATAAATGTACTGGAAGGTGAACACAAATGCTGTCAAAAGCCTATATTTACAAATGGATAAAAACACAAAGGTATTACTAGTGCCTGACGATGGCGACATGCCAGAAGAATCTGAGAGCCACCTATTGCCTTGGTTCTATATTTGATTACCAAAACCCAACAAAAGAACCAAAAAGTGATCTCTTAGTAGCAGTGGATTGTACAACCTCGTCGATGAAAGTGTTGTTCTCTAGGCAATCGGCAAACACCTCCCATTTAGCCGCCTTTGCTGATTCGAGGCATAGCAGAATTTTCTGTGGTGATTTTTCTTTATTGATTTTTACACAAATCTTAATAACAATTGCACATTTAGAAAGACTGTGATGATTAAGAATAAATATGTGTGGTTTGACCAGGAGAGAGTGGGACAAGGCTCCACGAGCCCGTTGAGGGACGCAAGGTCTTTACTTAAAGAGTGCAACACCACACTTCTCTCAGTTTCTGATGTTGTCTTCAGCTCTTTCAATCCCAAAAGCCTTACGGGAGACAAGTCACGAGGAGAAATGCCAGGTATCACCGGCATGAAGAGAGCAGTCCATGAGCCAGGCTCAGGGGATGACCAGCCAGCAGGCTCGTGGTGGTCCTGGACCGGCTCCTGCATCAGAGCGCGGAGGCCGTGACCGAGTGGCTGCCCTCCCTGGCCGTCTGCATGCCCTTGAACGCCAGCGAGGCGGGGATGTCGCAGCTGTGAGGGGACAGCGGGGTGCCTCCAGCATGCTGCCAGCCGTGGCTGGCCATGTAGCCAGATGGGGCGGCACTGTACGTCATGTAAGGTGACACTTGGGCTGGTGTGGCGTAGGGAGGCATGGCTGGTGCTGACACGAAACTGCTGACAGCTGGGAGGCCATTGGGTGCCTGAAAGGAAAGGGAAAAACGTTTCTAACAGAGTAAGACACAGTGGATCTGCTGTAAAAGAAGCTGCCCTCAGATGCTGCCCTACGAGTCTTTGTACAAGAACCAGAGCCAGTGATGCCCGCGGGACATCCATAACCACTCCCCTGGATTTCAGGGGCACAGTGACCCCCTTGTGCTTTGCTTTTAAGACCAGCTACTCTTCATCAGCCCTGCACACCTCTCCCAGCAGCCTGTCCCAGTCAGTGACCAGCCACAGGTGTTTAGGGAACACACACCGAGGGCAGGGCAGGAACTGCCAAGCCCCCCCGTACACCCGCCCACCTTCCCACAAGCTGTTGTTCAGGGACTCCTTAAGCTCATGGTTGCATCTAATCATTACATTTGAGAGCTACTGCTGGAGCTATTTGTGACGCATTTGTCCCATCTCTCTCACTGAGCACCTTCATCTTCTTGGCAATGAGTCCCATGGCTTGGAGCAGGTGGGCTATAATATTGACCCACCTTCCCCAGATTTTGCATGGGGTGTTGGCCTTGGCAGGTAGTGCTGTGACAGTTTAAGCTGGGTGTGCAATGACCACGGCCATACCAGCTGCAGGAGAGACGGGCCCATCCCAGCACCTCGCCTACCCCAGCCCTGAAGGAGGGTGGGCTCAGCCCTGAGCTGCAGCAGGCAGGCATGGGCATGGATCCCGAAGCAACGCTCCCCGGAGCAGAGAGGCAACAAGCAGCCGGGGGGGTGGGAACATCTTAAACTCGTCGGTAACTGTTTGCTCAGAGCATGAGTCAGAACTATAGTACTATTATTATTGATGATGTCTGTTAAAAATCTGTTTTCTAGGTACTCGGGATATAACCTTGCAAATGTTCTTTGCTCACAGCTTCTCCTGGTTTCAATAGGGCTTCTGTGCACAAAACAATTGCACGGCTGGGTCCTTTCCTGTGAGCTATTTTCCTAGGTCCTTCCATAGGCTGGGGAGAAGGTTTCTATTTAAATAGAGAAGGGAGAGTCCTTCAGTCTGCCACAGTAGGATCTCACAATGAATGACTCCTTATTTAAATAAAAAGTGTTCAGTGGTTTATTTCACACCCTGTAAATGCTTCTTCAGCAGAGCATGTACAAACCAAGACCATTTATCTTGTTTAAGTTCCGATTTGTGTAGTGTTTATGTTTTAGGATTTGGGGTGGTATTTTTTCCCAAAAACATTTCCTATCTGAATATGAAAGAACAGGTATCGATTCAACAAATCATGTAGCATCTGCCATTTTTAATCACCTGGTAGAACTGGACCTAACCTGGATAGTGCAGAGTTAAGAAATGAAAGAGACTTTTGTTTCTGCAAAAACTTCACATGAAGTTAACATTTCACTTGTTCAATTCCTGTCTGGATTGCACCTGCCTAAATTTCCAGTATTTACCACCATAAGGCACTGGCCTTGTTTCAGGCTCATGAGTTTCCTACCAGTGTAAGTCACAGTTCCACTGGCTGGACTGTTCTCTCATTGCCACTTGGGAAACCAAGCAGTAATCCTGCTGGAGTCAATATAAGCGTGTACAGCAATCTAAAACAGCAGGAGGCAGTGACAGGATCCCAGCCACAAGCCTCCGATAGGTATATTAATTAGTACAAAACATACAGCTGCAGCAGCAATGTAATTGTCATTCCAAATCCATAAACACTTTGTTGAAGCTGAACTTGCCTTATTCTTTTGAAAATCCAAATACATGACCTGACCTTCAACTCCAATTACACGTCCCCTACTGTGTCTCAGAATTACACTTTAGCCTCAGCTCTAAATATCAGTGTTTGCAACAATGCTAATTAATAAAAACCTTCAAATAATTGCACTGTAAATTAGTACACTTCTTAAATCACATGGAAAATTATTTCACTGAATTTACTGGAAAGTAAAAAGTGTGACAGGCCCTAAAAAGCTGCTGTTCTCCAAGCTCCCTGCCTATTCCACTCTAAAGTGCTTTTCAGAAGAACGTGAAACAAGAAAAGAACACCTCTCTGTTGTTCCTAACAAACAGCAACAAAAAGCTTTTCACAGAGGCAGTAGAGCCATTAGAGCCATTTTGTAACACTGGGACGTCAAGAGCCACAACCCAAAGGGATCCTGCATAGAGAAGAACTACAGAAACCCTGAAGGGGTGCTGGAAGGAGGAAAGGGGCAAGTCCCTGAACAGTCTCATAGCCATTGTGGCAGCACAAACGTCCAGCCCCTGAGGCTCAGAAGAGGTTTTTTAGACTCTGTGAGGCCACCCTGCTCCTCCAGGCTTGCCCACTCCCAAGCAGGCTGGTACCAAGCAGTGGGCTCAAGGATGTGCCTGGAAGCCCCATTTTAAGTAGGATTCCTCACTATGAGTGGTCGTGTCCCGTGAACCCTTGGCTGTGCTTTTGAAAGGATTCCTCCTAGGCCACAGAGAAGGCACATGTCTCTCCAGCTTCCTGTGTTGTCACTGCTCCCCTCTCTCTACCCCGTGTGGCTCTGGGAAAAGTCAGAGTCCTCATCTGCCACAGAGAAGAAGAGAAAATGCTTCCCATATGTTGTGCAGACTGCCATGCTGTAGGATGCTCTCCAACCGCTGGCACTTCCTCTTAGAGCTCTTTAGAAAAGGCAGATGCTCTAACAACATCTCGTCTGCGGAAGAGTAAGACTGTAAATGCATCCTTCAAAGTTGTGCATAGTGCTGCATTATGCCAAGGCAAAATACTGCTCAATGCAACCACTTTGCCAAGCACCTCTACCCACCCCATCATCACGGGCCAAGAGTACGTGGGTAGTGCTACCTGTGAGAAAGGCAACTTTTGGTCTTCAAGAAATTACTTCCTGCTATGTCCAAACACTGTGTCCGGGCAAAAAAAAGTCCCTGGAGCTGATGACTGTGTACATGTAAATAAAACAGACCAGATCCAATTCTTTGGCCCTGAGGGTGAGCAGCACCATGCAATAGTCAGCCCTACGGCTCTCCTCTCTTCTGCCAGAAACAAGGTGGCCTCGTCCACACAGCCTGGCGGGCAGGGTCCCTGGGCTGTGCCCTGCCTGACCCAATGCTGGGGCAGAGGCTGGTCATGTGCTAGTGGGCACAGGCTAGATCTGTGCCAGGCAACATGCCAACAAGCCACCTCTTTGCTGGTCCACCGATGCTCGAGCCCATGTCCTGCAGCTCCTACAGACAAGGCTGCCAGGGGTTTCTCAGCAGCCAGAAACTGATCACTTTGCATGATTTGGGGCATGCTCCTGAACAGCTCATATTAACTCAGGGACTGTTGATGAATATTTAATCCAATCATATATATGTTCCTCTACTTCTATTTATCATTGTGTGCCCTTCCTTAGTATGGTCTTACGGCATGAAGTAAAATGAAAGTCTCTGAACGATAACTAATGGAGAAGCCCTAGTTTGTTACTGAATTACATTGGAGGTGCTACTTGGGTCGTTACTGATAAAACAGATGGGACTTGACTAAAGGTTCACTAGTTTTTGTAAAAGCTTAATTTAAAAGAATACCTGTCCTGATTTATAACAGACAGAACAACCCTTTCACCCCACCACCACCCTTTAGGTAAATTGCAACTGAGATAACTGATGTTTTTATAGTGTTTAACTATTTTGAATGTGAGAAAGATCTTGCCCTAACTACTGAGGGCAGGACATGGAGGCAGTTGGGTCAGGACCGCCAGTTGCAACCTGTCAGAGGCCACCAATGCTGGAAAGCTGTTGTTGCTGCCTCACTGAATTAATGAATCATTCTTATTTTAGTTCCAGTGCTATAAAGCTTTACCACTCAAAACCATGATGATGTAAATGCCAGTAGGCGCCTTCAGCCAGCCAAGCAGGCGGCACTGGGACGGGTAAGGACTGGCCTGGCGTGTAACGCAGTTCTGCTTCAGGGAAGGTTTCAGCCATACCCACAAAGCAGCCAGAGGCCTCCTCTGGTCCAAATCTAAAGCTGAGGGGATAGAGAAAACTTCACTTTATGTGATTTAAAACTATGGTACTCAAAAAAAAAAAACCCTGATTTTCATCTCTGACTTTCATCAGTGAAGGACTTGACCCAATAATTTTAACCACAAGAGTTAAACTTGTGTTTAACTTCTAAACAGCTTTAGATACAATGTGTAGGTTATCAGAAGGGTTGAATCTTGTCTGTCAATCTGGCACTTTTTACAAACATGACATTCACTTAAAATAAATGGAGGGGATTAAGTTCCATGACCCTGGATATACTGGATGAATAATTCATCCTGCAGTATTTCAATCAGAGGAAATGAACACCAAAATCTAAACATTCATAATTAGGAGTGCGAGAACCCCATGGTGTTTATGGATTTTTAAAACCCTTAGAACTTGTTTTAAGTGCAGAGCTTCTTGAACCTGGTTTTTAAGTTTTATAAATATTTTTTTTCTTAATTTAAACCATTGCTTTTCAAGGGAAATCTAATTTTTAAAGCAAACAAACAAACATGTAGTTCTAACTGCACAAGAAACTCTGCTGTGCAAATGATAAGGGTTCCTGTTTGAAAGCGCTTACTGTCCAGCTTCTACAGAGAGAAACATTTGCTCTGAATTGCTGCTTCTATCAATGTTTTAAAACAACTTACAGAGTAAGTATTTCCAAATTTTAAAGCTGTGTTCAAAACCTGGAACACACGACCTCCCACTGATTTGCAAATTCAGTTAAAAATGTTCTCACAAAGATACCTGCAAAACAACAGTGGTTGGGTCAGGATCACAAGTTGGGTCTGGTTCCTTTCTGCCAACGTGCTGATATGCACCAGTGCCAGTGAAAGGAATATCCAGGCCAGAATTCAAAGCCAAGGTGGACATAAAGTCTTTCTTCAGGTCACATAAAATGATGCTGCTGAAACAAATGGACTGCATGTATTTTCGCCAGTGAAGGAGTCGGTTCAGTAGTTTTAACAGAGGGAATTTTTAGTTTTAGACACTTTAGGTACAACACTAACTAAAGACTTTTGTTGTCGTTGTTTTCAGTCTATTTGGGATTTGGGACACAGAGGGGGTGGGTGGATGAAAAGCAAGTCTAGAACCAAGCTTATGTGGGATTGTCTTTGGAATACGTAATTGCCATTAGCTGTTTGGACTCCTGAAAGTCCAAACAGTTCCTCTCCAAACCAGAGATAACCCACACACACCCTTTGATTTCTGTAATGAAGGTTATGCTGGTGTAATGTGTCATACATTTCAGCCTCCTCTCTCCTGCATTGTAAGGTGAGACAGGGCACAAGCTTTCTGGACAAACTTCCCAATTAATGCGCATCAGACAAACTACCTGACTTTTTTTTTTTCCCTGCCTTGGCCGTGTTAATACCAGAGAAACACACAAGCTACATTCCACTTTCAGGCACTGTGGTATAAATTCAAATTCTATCTTGTAATTAATTGATATTATTTTGTTTTGTTTCATCCCCCTCTCTTTCTTCTCTGCCTTTTGCTTCCGAGGTACGTGTTCTCTGAGCATCAAAATTAGACACACTCCCTGCGATCCATTCCCATGTGGCTTCTAAGTATTTCAGAAAACGACCTAGAGTCATAGCATTCAAAATCACAGACCTGCATTTATGTTAGTTATCGTTAATAGCAATAATGCAAATGACCTCATTTCAGGTTTACATAAATAAAAACGAGAGCAGATTTGATGCCACAGGTGGATGCCCCTCAGTCTAATAGTCTAACTCTAAAGTAAGTGTCCAAAAGAATTTAAATTATTCTTCTTAAAGTTATTCTTTCCAATTATTTGAATCACTTGCCCATTGTAATGTAATTGTTACAATATTTTATTAAATAGATAATTTATTGCATAGACTAAGAGTGTATCTTTTGTAGAAGTATTCTAAATGTCTATGGAAAAAAGTGTTTCTGGAGAAAAAACATAGGCTTCAAGCTCGAGTTACCTAATTCACCAGCCCTAATGAGCTTGAACAGTGACTCAGCCCAAACTCCCCTGCTGGAATCAGCAGAAGTTCAGCCTGTGTCAAGACTTGGGGAACACACCTCTGGTGAATAAGGTTGCTATTTAATTTGTATTTCTCAATTCTAACACCGACTTGGATGGAACGAATCCTTCCTGTCCTTGGATCAGCAAGCTCAGCGCGTTGCCTTGATCCTCCAGCACGGAGCCTTTCCCCGAGAGCAAATGAAACAAATCTGCAGAGGTATCACAACCGCGTAACTGAGAGCGGCAGCTCCCCGGCAAAGTGGAGGGCTGGCTGCAGCTTTAGCTGCAGGGACGCTACCGTAGCTCTGCAGACAGACACCCTCTCGCTGCTCATTTTTCAAAATGAAAAACTTAAAACAATTTCTGGAAATGCTGAGTCTTTTCTGAATGTCCTGAAAACACAGTCACAAAGTAGCTACTGGATAAGTCATTTTTTCCACAGCAAGAGGAAAGCATAGCAGGGAGCAGAGCTGAGTATCTAGTCCTTCAATCAGAAGAGCAAATTACCTTAAAAACCCAGAGGGTACCTCATGTTCTTAGTGACGTGCACATAATCAGTCAAAAAGGTTATGGCAACAAGACTAGGAGCAATCAAACACAAACTGCAAACATAAAGGAAGCAAACATGCTAAATCTCCCTTTTTAATTGGAGGTTAAATATGATTTATAAATCAAACCAACATATGGGGTCCCAAGGGAAGAGTAAACAAAATTTCCAAGAAAAACATCATCAGCAGGCCTGTAATGGAAATCTCATTTAGGAAAATGGCATTACCTAAAGATGTAAGTAATACACCTATGTTTCTTTTAAGGTTTTAAAATGAATAACCTTAAATAATATTTTGTAGAAATTGCAGTTAACTAAATTAGAGCTAAATTCTGAAGCTGCTATTCAGTGCTACAGCATCAGTGGGAAAAGTGACGATCCTACAAACACACATTCAGATCAGTGTCCCACTAAAATTAACGTGCCTACACAGGTAAGTCAGAGTTACCTAAAGAAGAAGGATTACAAAAGTGAGCACTGAGTAAATTTCTCCAGTTTATGATAACGCTTTTTATTAAAAATCTTTTTAAGAAAAATGTAATAAAATTGCTAAGCTGTATGTGAATAACCTAGTCAGAGTTGACCCTGCAATTCAGAGTTTGCTGTCTTTTTATAATGCTGGAAAAAATTCTTGCAAAAATCTTTTCTTATTAGACTATATATCCATATTCTTAGATGAATGAACTTATTTTACTGACCATATTCCCCCTTTGATTTTCTATTAATTTCACCGCAAGAAGAGAATAAAACAGACTCTGAAAAGTGAGGGCATTGTCATTAAATAATTTTGACATCCAAAAAATCTTGAGCAGAAGGGGAAACATTTTGTAGGTAGGATATTACTCTGAAACATATGCCTTTCTCTTCAACAAAGACTGAACAGTGGTAATACATTGGAACTGAGGAGCTTTTAAAGTAACACATGGGCAAGGGGTTTACAGTCAGTCTATTGCTCAGCTGAGCTGGGTTGATTCCCAGAAGGCTGAGCTTTGAAAAATGGAAAGAGATCTTTCAAGAACGGGGAATTACAGTATTTCTCTTTCACCGTAAACGTACGAAGCAATGCTGGTATTCTAGTTGAAGTCACAATTAAAATGGAGTTATTTGCATGCTTGAGTGTTTTAAGATTCCAAACGTAATTAGTTACCCAATCCTATACAGTGTCTCTTACAAAGATGCCATTTTCTTTACAGTTATTTCTCCGGTTACTAAATTCAATGCATTACAATGTACTGCAAGAGAAAATCATACTACTTCCTTCTAAAATAATGTTCATTCCCTTAATAATGAGCAGATCCCATTCCCCTTGTTTAATGTGCTTTTTTATTAACTTAAAGTTGTTTCCTTTACTTACAGGCATCCCCAGCTGCACTGAATAACACAGAAATCAGATAATATCGAGTGTTTTAACTATAGTTGCGACATGCATCAAGATCACTCTTAATTATATTTTCTTATCAAATTTTAAATCTCAGCCTCTTCAGGGAAATAAAAACCCACTTTTGGAAATAGTAATAGTAACTTGAATTTACACACCATCACTGATCTTTTCCTAAAGGAGCCGGGGGCATTTTATGTCTTTTCCAAAACAAACTATGGCAGAAACAAAAGAAAAAAAAACCTCTTTCTCAGAGACTGAGGAATCCACTACAAAAACAACAGAGGAAAAGAGAGGTAGGAGAAAAAGGCGCAACGGCAACAAGGCAGACGGAGGTTGTTGTAAAACCTAAATGCACTCCGAGGGAAAAGCGGAGAGCAAGGGTTTCCAAACGTTCTTCAGAAGGATGGGTTTAGATGATTTTCACAGTGAAGTGAGATCTACCACATACGGCACACCAAGCACACCCTAATATGTCCATGTGAAATGTCTCCCAAACGTAGATTATTGTGCAAGGTCTGTATGTTCATGGAATGGTTGCTTTCCATTCATACTCCAGTTTAGGAAGTATGATATAAATGGAAGTCACTGCCTTTCCAGTGAAGGTGCTGGATCTTGGGATATATTCAATTATTTAACAAACCTCACAACCAGACTCCCTCAAAGTGGAGTGAAAACAAATTTTTTGCTGTGAGCACAAAGCTTGATTTTGATGACAAAGACACAACTTGAGTCTCCCTTAGACACATGTACTGTGCTTACGAGGCCAGAAGGAAAGCTCAGAAAAAAAATTATGCCGTATAAGAAAACTCCCTTGACTAGGAACTAACAACAGATTTGCATAGTTGTAGAACAGATTTGCACAATAATTCCCCCTTGGTATTTTGGCAAAATTTTGAGTCAGGCAGGGTACACATGGACATTAAACAAGCAAATACACTGAAAGGAATAAACATTTATTATTTCTACACTGATGATTAAAACTGTAATGTATTAGCAAAAGGTTCTATGAAAAATGCCTTCTTAATATATTTATCAATGTATTGTAATTTCAATATGGTGTTATTTAAATGAAACTGAGGTTGGAAGAAGGAGACTTACGGACACAGAGACATCAAAGGAATTTTTGAGGGCTAGAAGCCAGGCAAATATGGGGTCAAACTGGTAAAGTCCCCACTTTGGCCTCTTCAGGGAGAGCCAAAACAGCGGTCCCCTTTGTCTAACAAATCTCTGATGCTGCAGAGGCAATTACTGGGAAGCTGCTAAGCTAACGAGGGTGAAATCACAGCCCATCGATTATTGAATGCCTATGGTCATTATGACTAGATATATAGGCAATTCCTAAGAGCTGATAAATTGCCACAACAGACAAATTCAATCACACCATACAGTCTTTATCTACTTCCCACTCTACCAAGTGGTGGTAGAGCAAGCACCAGAAGGCTGAACAGATGAAGTCCTATCGAATCCCCCTGCCCCTGGCACTCTGCTCCTTGGCTGTGATAGGTATCTCCCACCACTCTCGCTTTTCAGTCCCTGGTCCTGTTTGTCACGGTGGAGCTCCTGGTGGGTTGGGGCCCTTTGAGCAGAGGGTGCTCAGAGTGCAGTTTGAGTGTCATTATACCATTCACTCACCTCTCTGACTTTCTTTTTTAGTTTCATCCGGGTGGAGTGCCCTGAAGCCATGTGGGTTGGTGGGCAGGGCACTGTGTTTTGGCCGTGGAAGCAGGTGGCCAGTAAGAGGCAGGTCTCACAAATGGGGTTCGAATGGGGTGCCATCCAGATCACCTGGGAAGGAATCGGGTGCATGTAGTGGGATCAGCTCATGCCCCTCACCCACAACATGCAATGACATGGATGCCTAGACCTCGAGCAAGCCGTCTTAGTGACAGTATTTTAATAACAGGCACTGGTCTGGAGATCCTAATGAGAGTGACACAGAACCACACAGTCTCCAAGCCAAGGTCTGAACCCCTGCACCAGACAGGAACTCTGCTAACAATTCTGCTAGGTACTACGGCAAGAAAGCAAATAAGCACCTCTCCTCAACACCTTCCCACCCACCCCCCCCCCCCCAGGGTTTGAGTGAAGAGCGGGAGGTCCAGACCTTTATCATTGATGGATTTTGCACAGACCCATAGCAGGAATCCAACTGACTGAATCCTGAGTTAGAATATAAAATGCTAAATAAGTAATCTGCTAATTAATTTTTTCAAAAAATAATCCGTGTAGGAGGGTCATGTAATTGGCCATAACATTTAAGGTTACATTTTCATCTTATTCCCAAAGAAGTTAACGTATGTTGTGGGTTCTCAGCACTGCAGATAAAAACAATTACAGATGCTTTGGACACCGCATATACAGTTCATTGTTCATCTACAATCAAAGGTCAGGAACTAAATATTTACATTGCCTACATTTTCTGTGCAAATAATTGTCCAGAATTGCACCCACAATTATTTGCAATCACTTGCCCTTTATGTGCTTACAGCACAAGGAGCTCATGACCCCTAATCAGAACGCAGCCAAAGGACAGGGAGTGCTGTCCCAGCAAAGCCGAAAACTCAAGCCACTAACAGCTGATGAAGTTCAGCTGAGACAGAGGTGAAGCGGTTGCTACTTTCAGGTCTGCCCAATGTGCCAGAGGAAGACTTCACTCAAACCATGTTCACAAGCCCCTCTGAATTAGGAGGAGTGTTTTCAGCAACTCCGGTAGGTTTGGGATCAGGCCTCCAAATAGCATACCCTTTCCAGGAGCGAGCTTGCAATAACCACTTGCTCTTAGACCCCTCCAGTTACAAGCTTTTTCCCGTTAATGAGTATCAGCTCCCTTTGGCAATGTGCACATCTGCTTCCTGCAATGCACACAGCAAATAATTCTGAAAAAAACTATTTCCAAAGCTATTTGCCTCTCAACAAATTGTACAGACATATGTCAGATCTTCTGCATTTTCATACACGTGTAAATACAGATCACAATTTTTTCAGTTTGCATATCCATGACATTAGTCCAGAAAGTCACAAGCATCAGATGCCTGAAAACTGCATTTTAAATATGATACATATTTATTAAATGTTTTCATTTCAAATGCAGGGTATAAATGGGTTTGTATTTCAGTGATTTCACCTATTTTTTTTTCCTTATGCAGCTGTCAGTATAAGCTGCGTAATGCATAAAATACTCAGAATATTCATCCTTTGTATTAATAATATAATTATCTGTAGAGGCCTTCCCCCCAACATCACAGTAAGTGTGCCTCTCCGTATAAATACTGCAATATAACTGAGCTCTGTATGAAATGTGTACGACCCAAAACTGTCAAGCTTTCAGGAAAAACTGTTTTCCTTTTCAGTTTCTCTGATTCACAGTCTCTCTGTTTGCAAAGCTGTATGACAAATTTGTGAATATGATGCACCAGGAAAATATAATGCAATTGCTTAAGTGTAAACGACAACTTGGGACATCAGGTAATTAAAAATGAATAGAAACTTGACAAGGCATCTCTGTGATTTCCTGGGGAACATTTGGTACAGAATCAGTCTGCCAGGCAGAGCTTTCAACTCCCCAAACCCAAATACCCAACAACATCGCAAACAAAGGCCCCAGAGACACCAGGAAATTCATAATACTTAAAGTGAAAAATGTTCTACATCCACAAGTTCAGTTTCATGTTAAACGAGTGTGACTGCATATTGCTGAGGCAAAAATGTGACGTCTTCTTGCCTCTTTTGCAGAGTCCTTTCCCAGGCCGAATTCCCACTGATGTGTGGGGCAAGGGGTGAAATGCAGCCTTTTGAACCCATCGAAGAGATCAGCCTTGGCTGCCGGCTGACAAGTCTGGGAGGTCACTAAGAGTTTCGCCTGAAAAAAGCCTACAGGATCCCGTGTGTTCAAACAAATGTATATCATTTAAAAGGAGGGATCAAATAAATGTATGTTAAAAGTACAGAAAACCTTGTTCTTTGGGCTCAATTTTTCTAGTCTTCCCATGCAGAGGGAGTTTCCAGGGGATTTCTTGAGAAGTAAAATATTATCGTCCATGACTAAGGCTAGGGGAACAAGTCCTTCACTCACCTAGTAGCTATGGAGCTACTTGCAAGCTGTGGACAGGTGAACCTTGAATGTTGCTGATGCTTAATATGTAGCTGATACTTGTTGGAAACAGCAGAATTCCCTATTGCTCACACAAAATCCTTTGTTACTGTGCTTCAGAGCACATTCCCTCTGTTCCTGTTGTGTAATTGGAAAGCCTAAGTAAAACACGCACGCTTGATTCCCTGCTGCTCTACTCCTCTTGTAGGCGCCGCTGACTTTGGTAATACAGACGTAAAACTGGAATATTACAGAACAGTCACTTCTCTTCTCTGGGGAAAATCTGCTGTCTGCCTTCTTAAGACCCAGCTTTTGTAATGAGCTTTGCCCAAAGGAGATGAGGAGAACAGCATTTACCCTGAAGTCCAAAGACGGAGCCTATTTCACCGTAGTCCTTCTGGCACATAAATTATGACTGTGGCTTCCCCATTTTCCACGATTCCAGACACCCTTTTGCTAGATCCATGCAAATGAACCAATGTTCTCTCCTGTCCCCTGCTCATCTATTTACACCCAAAGCAGTACACATTGCAAGAGACTATGTAAAGATCTAAGAACATCAGAGCCTTTTGGTGAGGCTCTACTGTCACAAACCGTCACCCCAGACTCACTGCGCTTCAGCGAACGGACAGCTAGGCAGTGCTATGTGCAGCAAGAATTTGGTTCCTAAATTTCACTTTGCACCTGGTTGGAACAAATCTTTTGGCAAAAAGAACGTTGCAAAAACTGCAGAAAATCACATTTTCACATCCTTATTTGACATGAATTTTCTCTGAATACATTTTAAATTAGCAAGGTAGTAAACTTGTGACAGACAAAGCAATTAATGTACATGTGAATGAATCCTCTGGTAAGCAAGTCTGAATACTACCTGAATAGACTGGTCTATACATTAGAACTTTCCAAAGCCAAATTCTATTTACCCGTGTTATTGGGGGGGGTGTGGGGAGGGGGGATCTCCTCTGTGTCTTCTTTTAGTGAGCAGGGTTCTGAAAATGACCTTTTGGATAAATACTTTTTAGCTTTTCTGCCCTTTTAAACTCTCTGGACAATGTATTTTGGTAAATTAATTCCATTTTATTAATAGCAAGTTGCTCCATTTTTAAATAGCAAGTAAGTTTAAATTACATTTATCAGGTGACCTTTCAGGTTGAACAAAACTTTAAAGTAAGACTGGTATTGACAGTAGAACAGTGATGTATTGCGAAGATGAAAGCATAAATATTGAAAGAGTGAAAACAGATAAAAAATAGTTTCCAACACCAGCATTGAAAATAACCCGATGTACATGACATTGTTCCTCAACACGTTTGCTGAGGTAAATGAGATACCAACAGAAGCAATGGTTTATAGCCTATGAGCCGGATCCTGTGAATCCTTCAGCGGAATTGTGCGCAGAAGGCCCAGCCTGGAACCTAAGGCAGCACAGCCACGGTACAGCTGTTCTTAACAGAATAATGACAAGCTATTTCCATCGGTTTTAGTAAGACTGCTAACACTTTGTTTCGTTTTTAAAGAAAATTGTGGAAGGATGAATATTAACTCTAACAATTCTATCTTTAACCATACAGTCATGGCTGTACTACACTGTGCATTATTTGTAATATTAAAAGAACAGAATAATAATGGGATAATAGAAAAACGTAATACAAAACAAATAGCACAGCACTGAGGGCAGCACATTGTTTGTAAGGCAATATATGTAATAAAGCGGTGGTTCACTTTTGGGGCCTACAGTATTTCCCACTCTGCCTCATTCACCTCTTTGCAAGCATTCCCGCCGTTGGCGCTCCACATCTTGAATTTGGAAGGGTCTGATTCAGCTACTCTCGGCACCAAATACGAGCTACAAATGTCTCCTCGACACGGAATCCAAAACCAGACACAGCACTCGAAAACTATGTCCAAAACCTCCGCCTTTGAATGGAAACACGCTAAACAGAGATCGCGGTTTTTCCTCGACTTCGTTACGAGCGCAACAAACGCATGGCCGGGAAGTCAACGCATCTGAGAAACCTCTGATGCGTTTTGCAATGTTGCCATCGCACGGAAAAAAAAGTTTTCAAAACCTGTGCCTTCCCAACGAGTAACAGTTGAGCCTTTTACAGCTTTTCTCCTGGCATGGGATTTGATTAGCAAGTACAAAGATTTAGACAGAGATTTATGAAGTAACAGTTATATTGTGTTGTAATTAAAACGTAGGAAATTCGCCGTCTACTTAAGCGTTTAAAAATGCTTCATGTAGGAAGCAATTACACCTCATTTTCAAATTATTCCCCTGCCTACAGAGCACGCTGCGGACAGGGTAAAACGCGACTTTAAGGGCGGC